GTCAAGTGACATAAATTGACAGCATAGTGACTGTCAGCTCTCGCATCTTGTCGTCTCCCACCATGGCTGAGGTACTAGGGATCGTCGAGGCCGGACTCAGTCTTCTGAGTACTGCGCTGAAGGTCAAACAAGTCATTCAGGATGCACACAAAGCACCACAGGAACAGCAGAAACTACTGACAGAGATGGAGGATCTCAAACTACTTCTGGACGAGCTCCGTCGCCACATCATTGCCAATCCATCTGCGGGTGTTCTTCGGCAGATGGCAGGTCCATTGTCAAACTTGTGCAAGGATGTACAGGACCTCACCGAAAGGTTGCAACCGGGGAAAGGATCGATTGGAAAACTCAAAAAAAGACTAGCATGGCCAATGAGCAACAAAAAGAAGACAGATGAAGATGTCACAAAGCTGGAGCAATTGAAAAGCCTGATTAATTCTTGGTTGATACTGGACTTCTGGTATGTTGGGTGAATCTTGTTTAAGTCTTCCTCTGAGTTTATTGCTTCCAGGGATCAAATGGATGGTGATTGCCAGAATTTTTTGTTTATGCAGATGTTGAACACTCTTCAGCTGCTAAACGGAGTGCAATAATTGAATGGTTGTCCCCAATCAATTTTTTTGTTCGACAACAGGACATTTCCAAGAATCGGCAGTCAGGAACCGGTGAATGGCTGCTCAATGACCCCAAGTTCAAGCAGTGGAAATCAAGCACTGGAGGAATTCTGTGGTGCTCTGGAATACGTGTGTAACATCACCATATTATCAGTGTCTCGGCCTGAATAATATGTATAGCTGGTGCTGGGAAGACTGTTCTTGCGTAGGTCCCAATTCCACAAACTGAGTTCTGCTCATGTATATGATTGTAGCTCTCTTGTAGTAGACCATCTAAGTGCCCTCCAAAGCAAGAATATTGGAGTGGCCTGCATCTACTTCAACCACAAGGAGACTCAAATCCAAACACTGGACAATCTGCTTGCAGGACTTTGGAGACAGCTAATCCCAAACCAACCTCTTGGTTCTGCTCATGAGCTGTATCAGAAACATGCTGAGAAGAAGACAAGGCCCTCGTACAAAGACATTCAGACACTTTTATCTTTGGCACTTCTCAGGTTCACACAGGTTTATGTTATTCTCGACGGGGTTGATGAATACCCAGAGAATCAGTGGGGTATACTAGCCAAAGACTTGACTGGTCCGGGGCTTATCAACCTTTTGGTCCTGTCACGGCCCCATATTTCCCCGCCTCAGTTGCTTCCAAATCCTGTAACACTGGAGATACTGGCAAGCCAGATAGACATAGAGACATATGTAGAGGCACAAATCCAGTTGTCTGCTCGCCTGTTGCAGCATGTGAATAGGGAAACAGGGTTGAAGGAGGAAATTTGTTCAAAAATCAGTAATACCGTTGGTGGAATGTAAGCACTGTATTCATTGGAGGAAATTGTTTGACTAATTACCCTATCAGGTTCTTACTTGCCAAGCTTCATCTTGATGCTTTGTGCACAGCAACAAATATAAAAGAAGTTCAGCAAGCTTTACATGATTTACCAAAAGACTTGGACCAAACATATAAAAATACTATGGACCGCATCAATACTCTGCCACCAAATGAAAGTGAACTTGCACGATCAGCACTTATCTGGGTTGTCAATGCAAAAAGACCTTTGACCAGTGTTGAACTATGTGAAGCTCTAGCCATTGAGCCAGGAACAAAAGGATTGAATAAAAACAATATCACTGATATTGCTATCATCCTTTCTGTCTGTGCTGGTCTCATAATCATGGAAGAACGCAGTTCCTTGGTCCGACTTGTCCACTTTACTACCCAGAAATATCTGGATGAAATCCAAGCCAAGGAGCTTCCAAACCCACACATTAAAATCACACAGAGCTTGCTAACATATTTGCAATTTGAGCAATTCTCAGACAAAAAAGCCATTTCTGAGGACAACGAGCCACCACTTCTTGAATATTGCCAGTACTATTTGGTACATGCTCAACTGTGTGAGGAGGAATTGAGAGATCCCATTATAGAGTTTCTGAAAGAGGCCAGGACATACCGGGAACAGTGGTACCGGTATTCATGGGAATGGCAGTCTCCTCCGTGGACCTTTGATGATTGGCCTAACTCTCCCTCATCTTTGTGGATCACAGCCTCGGTAAATATGGTGAAGACAGCAAGTTATCTCTTGGAATATGCTGAAGAATATGCTGACAGTGAAATGTTGGCTGTTGCAGTATATTATGGCTACTTGGATATGTGCCAACTCCTTCTTGACAAAGGGGCAGATGTGCATGCACGGAGCAGGCTTGATGGAAATGTGCTCCAGGCAGCAGCCAACAGGGGCCATCTTGAGATTGTTCAGCTTTTCCTTGACAAAGGGGCAGATGTCAATTTGCATGGAGGGCACTATGGAAATGCGCTCCAGGCAGCAGTTTACGGAGGCCATCTCGAGATTTTCCAGATCCTTCTTGACAAAGGTGCAGATGTGACTGCACAGGGAGGACACTATGGAAATGCACTCCCGGCAGCTGCCCACGGAGGCCATCTCGAGATTTTCCAGATCCTTCTTGACAAAGGTGCAGATGTGAATGTACAGGGAGGGCACTATGGAAATGCACTCCAGGCAGCTGCCCACGGAGGCTATCTCAAGATTATTCAGATCTTTCTTGACAAAGGGGCAGATGTGAATGCACAAGGAGGACAATATGGAAATGCACTCCAGGCAGCAGCCTACTGCGGCCATCTCGAGATTGTTCAGATCCTTCTTGACAGAGGTGCAGACGTGAATGCACAGGGAGGACAATATGGAAATGCACTCCAGGCAGCAGCCTACTGCGGCCATCTCGAGATTGTTCAGATCCTTCTTGACAAAGGTGCAGATGTGAATGCACAGAGAGGGGAGTATGGAACTGCACTCCAGGCAGCAGCGTGGGGAGGCCATTCCGATATTGTTCAGATCCTTCTTGACAAAGGGGGAGATGTGCATGTACAGGGAGGGGCCTTTGGAAATGCGCTCCAGGCAGCAGCGTCGGGAGGCCATTCCGAGATTGTTCAGATCCTCCTTGACAAAGATGTGGATGTGAATGCACAGGGAGGGGGATATGGAAATGCACTCCAGGCAGCAGCTAACGGAGGCCATTCCGAGATTGTTCAAATTCTTCTTGACAAAGGTTCAGATGTCAATTTGCATGGAGGGCACTATGGAACTGGACTCCAGGCCGCAGCTGAGGAAGGCCGTCTCGAGATTGTTCAGATCCTTCTTGACAAAGGGGCAGATGTGAATGCACAGGGAGGAGAATATGCAAATGCCCTCCACGCAGCAGCATTGGGAGGCCATTCCAACATTGTTCAGATCCTTCTTGACAAAGGTGCCGATGTGAATGCACAGGGAGGGGAATGTGGAAATGCACTCCAGGCAGCAGCTGAGGCAGGCCATCTCGAAATCCTTCAGATCCTTGTTGACGAAGGGGCAGATGTAAATGCACAGGGAGGATATTATGGAAATGCGCTCCAGGCAGCAGCTGCGCAACACCATTCCGAGATTGTTCAGATCCTTCTTGACAAAGGTGCCAATGTGAATGCACAGGGAGGTAGATATGGAAATTCACTCCAGGCAGCAGCTGTCAGAGGCCATTCCGAGATTGTTCAGATCCTCATTGATAAAGGGGCAGATGTGCATGCACAGGGAGGAGAACATGGAACTGCACTCCAGGCAGCAGCCTTTAGAGGCCATTCCGGGATTATTCAAATCCTTCTTGACAAAGGGGCAGATGTGAATGCACAGGGAGGGTACTTTGGAAATGCACTCCAGGCAGCCGCCTACCAAGGCCATCTCGAGATTGTTCAAATCCTTCTTGACAAAGGGGCAGATGTACATGCACAGGGAGGATACTATGGAAATGCACTCCAGGCAGCAGCTGTCAGAGGCCATTCCGAGATTGTTCAGATCCTTCTTGACAAAGGGGCAGATGTGAATGCACAGGGAGGGGAATGTGGAAATGCACTCCAGGCAGCAGCTGAGGCAGGCCATCTCGAAATCCTTCAGATCCTTGTTGACGAAGGGGCAGATGTAAATGCACAGGGAGGATATTATGGAAATGTGCTCCAGGCAGCAGCTGCGCAAGGCCATTCCGAGATTGTTGAGATCCTTCTTGACAAAGGTGCAAATGTGAATGCACAGGGCGGGTTCTATGGAAATGCCCTCCAGGCAGCAACTGAGGGAGGCCATTCTGACATTGTTCAGATCCTTCTTAACAGAGGCGCAGAGGTGGATTCACAGGATGGCAATGAACTCCATGCAGTCACTTAGGAAGCTGGTTGGATAACAGTTGTTTACATAGAATTCTAGCGTATTTGAAATCATGTGTATGAAATACAACTCGTGGTTTGACCTGACAGCCTGACAATTATGTGGAAAGTATGTGTAGTGTGCTGTTTTCTTCACTGACATCCACTGCCCATTCGGCCGTCTCTGCCACCTGGACAATGAGGTGTTTACGCTTACTGACCTCAACTTAGGTTTCTACCTCACGCTTCTTATGATGTTCATCACACTGGTTGAACAATTCCAGTTTCTCACACCGTTTTTTCCGTGGTAACAAGAACGCCGCGGGGCGCTCTGCACCTCACTGCTTTACTTCGAATTCCAGGGATCATGATGATATTGGTCTGGAAGAAGCTGTACAAGCTGTTGAGACCCGAAAGTCGAAACAGGGCTGTTAAGTTTCATGTGCACGGTAAGTTTCGGCAAGTCTCGGCATACTCGGTATCACGAAGCCGAGATATTTTTGGTGTGGTGCCACCGCAACACATCATCCCATCAGCGGAGCCTAAAAGGCCTCGCACAGACATGCACGTAATTTTATAAAGGAGAATGCTATTTGTTTCACACCTATTTCTCCCCTGAAACACAACTCACTATAAATTTTTCCATCTGTGTGCCAAAATCCACCTCAATTTATACACTCCAGGTGCCAGACTAGTAGTACTGTAATGCCCTCGTAGCTCAACCGTTAGAGCCTCCTCTTTCTATAGTTTGTGTATCATAAAAGTATGTGGAAGATGTGCGTTCGACTCTCACTGAGGCCATGGTTTGGCTGTGCAACTTTTGTAAATAATTTGTTTTCGTTGGCCGCGCGGCTTTGCTTCGCTTCGCTTCGTTCTTCTGCTTTCGCTTCTGGATCTACGCTCGCTGATTGTCCTGAGTTATGTGTTGAAATTCACGATATCATTCTTGCCGGTAATTGACCCCCAGTGAGAATCCCGTCTGGCCGGGTCTGCCGCCATCTGCCACCATTCTGCCGACCCCTGCCAAATCTGCCGAGACTTGGCAAAACGTGGCGTCATGTATATTAATAGTTTCGGAAGTAAATTACACGCTTCTTGGCTGACGCGTCCGTGTGTGACGCGCGCGCAATCGACATCGCAGCTCTGCGCAGACCCATTTCGTCGACAACCTTTCCCTCGCGCCCCGCTTTGATGCCGTCCCACCTGAAACGTTCCCGTCACAAAAGCCAAGATAAGACCGACAAGGAAAAAGAATACCGCTGTACTTGCGAAAAACATTGCCACGGAGGGAAGCCCGTGTCCCAACGCACATTTCAGCGACATAAACCACATAGAAAAGCTCTTTACTCCGAACCCGTTTCCCATGGCGAAATCTCCGAGAGCGACACTAGCTCTGAATCCGTCTCAGACTCAGATGAATCAGATAGCGATAGCAACACCTCTTCCAGCTCTACTTCTTCTGCGTTCAAGCGAAGACGACTTGATAGTGACCTTCCCTCTGATCCAACGGATGATTTCCTTATCCAAAATGACTTCAGAGACGATGTAGGTCAAATTTTACTCCGTTTCTTGTGCACGCTCAATGGAGTTTGGGTCCAGGGTGAAGACCAGTCGGCTTCCCACAATAATGGTGGCCGGATATCTCCAACGATCCCAGGGTCAGACCGTATTGATCCAGGCAGCCTTGCCGACAACCGCGCCCACTCACCGACTCCCTCCGAGTCCGACTCGGATGATTCCAATAGCGATAGTGAAACAGATTCGAATACAGGTGCAGACCCGAGCCTGACTACTCCTGTGAAAGTCCAAGAGCTCCAGACCGCGCTGGATTTCATTGAGGCTGTCAAAAATGCCTCCCTCGATAACGGAGATCTGGACGAAGATGCTCTAGATCGCCTTCGAAATCCCTCCCACGAGCCGCTCGATGTTTCTGATCCTGCGGAACTTTACTCCCTCTCCCTCTTCCTTGCAACCACTCACGGTTCCGAGGAGCAGTATAACGCTCTTCGTGATGCCTATCTCCAACGTCATCCCGAGAATGAAGTCCTTACTCTCGCAAAGATCAAGCGGAAAGTCGCGGAGTGGAGCGGGGTGGTTCCAATTTTGTCTCACATGTGTCGAGATAGTTGCATGGCGTTCACCGGTCCCTATGCCGACCTTGACGCGTGCAAAATCTGTAATCAACCTCGCTTCTTTCCCGACGGCTCGGCACAAACATTCTACACCATTCCGCTGGGTCCGCAGATCCAGGCGCTCTTTCGTAACCCTGAAAGCGCCAAGAAAATGCACTATCGGCGGGAAATAACCGCAGAAATCCTCGCGTCTTTGGATCTTGATGGAAACATCGACATCCCCGTTTACAAGGATATATTCCACGGCAGCGACTATCTCGAGGCTGTCATGCGCGGCGACATCAAAGACACGGATGTTGTCGTTATCGGCTCCATTGACGGCGCGCAGTTATATCGCAACAAGCACTCCGATTGCTGGATATCCATTTGGATTATCGGCGAGCAATGCCCTCAGAACCGATTCAAAGTCCGTGCAGTTTTGTCCGACTCCATTTTTCCCGGGCCGAACAAGCCTAAACATCTTGATTCCTTCCAATTCACTTCCGTCCACCATGTTGCAGCTCTACAGAAGGAAGGACTTCGAGTTTGGGATGCCCATGATCACAAAGAAGTCATATCCCGCCCATTCCTCCTGATGGAGACAGCTGACGCTCCTGGCATGACTGGTCTCAACGGCCTCGTCGGTCACCATGGATTTTACGGCTGCCGGCTGTATTGTCCACTAAAGGGCCGACACAAAGACGGCAAATCCCATTACTATCCCGTTATGCAGCGTCCCAACAACTATGCAGTACCCGGATGTAGCCATCCCGACGTTCTACCCGAGGATCTTGAACAACCCTCCGAAGAACTATACCTCAAAAATCTACAAACACTACTTGCTTCCCGCAACGAGACCGACTACAAAGAGCAGCGTAAAAAAACTGGTATAGTAAAACCAAGTCTCTTCAGTGGCCTGGGTAGAAAACACAGGTTGGGAATTCCTGGGTTATTTCCTGGCGACATCATGCATTGGGCGTGTCTAAATTGGACCGATCTTGTCCTCTCACTTTTCCGGGGAACCATGCGATGTGAGGCACCGGATAAGAAGGATTCTTGGGACTGGGCTGTTCTTACAGGCGACGTTTGGAAAAAGCACGGCCAAGCCGTCGCAGACGCGACTCCATATTTCCCAGGTTCGTTCGACCGCACGCCCCGTAACCCGGCCGAGAAAATTTCCAGTGGCTACAAGGCCTGGGAGTTCCTTCTATATGTTATCGGTCTCGGACCCGCATTGTTCATGGACATCATCCCCGAGAAGTACTGGAGTCACTTTTGCAAAGGTGTCAGTGTCATCCGCTCCTTTCAGCAGTACGAGATCTCCGCACCACACGTTGTCGCTGCACACGAGCGCGGTCTCGAGTATGTTGATGAATTCGAGACCTTGTATTACCAGCGCATGGAGTCTCGCATTCATCTCGTACGGCAGAGCGTCCATAACATGTCGCATCTGGGACCAGAAACCATCCGCGTTGGTCCAGCTCCCTTATTCGCCCAGTGGACAATCGAGCGGACAATCGGGAACCTTGGCCAGGAGATAAAATCCCATTCCAAACCCTACGCCAATCTCTCGGAACGCGGTGTGCGCAGGTGTCAAGTTAATGCCTTGAAGGCGTTGATTCCAGATCTAGATCACACGGAAAAGAAAGGCCTCCCACGCGGGTCGGTGGATTTAGGTGACGGATTTGTGCTCCTGCGAGCTCGCGACGAGTTCAAACACAGGCTTGATGGAGACGCAGGAAGAGTCATTCGGGAATATTTAGAGAAGGAGAAAGGGAAGATTCGTGGCTCTTTGGCGGTTGTTCGATGGGCGCGTATACGATTGCCGAACGGTCAAATCGCTCGGTCTGCCTGGAAGGAGAAGCGCAAAGAATTGCACAAGGTACGCATGGCGCGGAATGTGAAAGTAGGTTACTTGTTTTAACCTCTGGACCGTGCTCACGTTTGAGTAGATTTTGCGCGATAGAAAGTACGAAATCGCCGAAGTTCAATTCTATTTCTTGGCCTCTATCCGCGGTGAAACACAGGCACTCGCTGTTGTGGACTTTTATTCCGATCCTTGCCCTGATCTGCTCAGCCGCTCATTCCACACTATATGGTCCTCTACATCGGGCCAGGGGTCCGCTCTACGAGTGATCCCAGCCAAGTTATTTATATCTGTTGTTGCGATGGTGCCTCATGCGGTGAAGGGAGATGCGAGGTTTTTCCTTGTGGAGAAGCCGGGCTTGGAATTAATTGGTTTGGCGGGGTATGAAGAAGACGACGATGAGGATGATGTACCTTCTCAATAATTATCTTATTTTCTAAATGTATTTATCGGGTGTCTAGGGTTTCAATATCAGTTGCATTTGCTATATCCAAACCTTGAGCTGCTAGTTCACTAACTTTCTTTTACCGAGTGCAGCTTCTATGCTTGCGAGCATTAAACAAATTTTCAGTAAGTTTACTTGGTGGTTTGCCTGATGACGGGGGGTAAGAAAAATGGAGGTAGGGAGAACATCACTGTCACCCTGAGCACCATATTCATTTTCCCCCATCCTTTCCCTCTACCCAGGTCTGGTCTTTACCTCTGTTCAAATGTGCACGGCCTCGGTATTTGGTTGACTTGTTTCCCTATCCGATCGACGTGTAGCATCCAAGCAACTAGGTTGGTCATTCTCCCCTAGGTTTGTTGAGGTGAAAACAATGGTCAGCAAGTTTTGGTCTCGCTGCATTTTATAGGATTTGGCGCGTCCATCACGGTAGCCGTGTGACCCGACGCGCCAGTGACATGTCACTGTCTTTCTCCTTCCTCCATGTCGACTTCTGGCTCATCGTCAACATGGACCTCAAGAGACGGCTTCCTCACTCCATCACAGCACTCTGGCTCTCTCAGTCCTCTGGATGGGTTTACGCCAGCATTCCCAAATTTACGTGGTCTCCCGCAGCCGACGAGAGAGCAGAACGACAATGATACCGATTTTTCTTGGGTTCAGTCCTTGCCGGTTGGTTGGTTCTGCCAGCAATTCTGAAACCCCCTGAAAATTGGACAACACAGGACCCTGTTAAGCAAGCCGATCACCAGGCCCTGCTCCGACATGGCAATGTCGCATACTCAAAACTATTGTCTGCGTATAACGACCTGTCCATTCGCCACGATACGTTGCGGTGAGTTTCTTCTGTTTCACTGGAGAACAAGTCAGAAAGGCCGAACAAAATACCAGTACTGCTTACAACACACTCGCCACTTCAATTCCCCAAATCTTCAAGCACATCCCGAATCCCTTGAACTTTCCTATTCCTGCTTCATATTCCTCTGCATCCGCATCTGCTGGTGCCAGCTCACTTTCTCTCGATCCCCTTTCCCCTCTTGTTCAATCTGATTTCCCCGACATTCAATTCTGGAATCGCAGTGACTTCAAAGAAGATGGTCTCACCGACATCACTGATAACGACGAGAAGGGTGGAAAGCTCGCATTTTTGGAGCACAGAACCGGAACCCAGTTCACCGCGGCGGAGATCAAGGCTGTTCGGAAGAGCGCATACGGCTCTTTCCAGACTCTTCTCGATTCCAGTAACGCACCGCTGCGGTGGTCGCAAGCAACGTCGACCGCCACACAACAAGTGAGGAAGGAGCTCATCACGGAGCATCCTGAACTTGCATTATGCGCGAACAATTGGAAGGTGGACGCTGTGTTAACGGAGGTTTAC